CTTCCTGCAGGCTGGGCAATGATGCACCAATTGCTGTCTGGCAGGAGCTCCCAGTCTAAGAGAACATGCCAACAATCATGCATACCCGGGACACTTTCAGAATAAACCTGGCTAGTCTCAGAGAGAAGGCGCTTCAGTTAGGGGGCTTGGGAAAGCTTTCCTGTAGAAGGGGAGAAACCAGGGAAGCAGGAAGTGGGGGAGGGGGGTCGTGTGGGAGGAACAGCTGCCGGTGCAGGATGTCCTCAGGACACTAGGGAACCCTACAGAAAACGTACATTTCCCTGCTTTACACCTTGCATGATAGTTATACTTAGACAACCTCTGTGGTTCCTAGGTGGCCTAGTACACAGAGTGCTGAACTTGGAGTCAGGAAGGCCAGAGTTCAAATCCAGTCTCAGACACTTGCTAGCTAGGTGACCCTGAGCAAGTCATTTTCCCTGTGTGCCTCAGTTTCTTCATCTGCAAAATGGGCACATAAAAGCACCAACCTCTCAGGACTGTTGTGAGTACTGCATGAGTTAACATACAAGTAAAGTACTTCATCTCAAAGCTAGATAGCAGCCACCCACCTGTCCAGGAATGCACATATGACAATTCACTGACCAACTCAGCCACATCTTAAAAATCCCTCCACAGACCTGCACATAGGATTTTGGGTCCTCTACACCAGGGAAGATGGGGTTTGCCACTCCCCTGCCTAAGCCTGCCAGCTCCCCTCTCCTGTTTTTACCAAGGAAGATACCTCCAAATGAGAAAGCGGACATATGTGCCAAGCACTGCTGAGGGACAGGACACAAGGAAGCCCAAACTGCAAGAGGGAGGGAGAGAGGAGAAAGCCCTTATTAAGTGCCATGCCTACTACAAAGACGATCTCACTGGATCCTCACAGCCAAGGAGGCGCGATGATGAGCCTCATTTTACAGTGCAGGACACTGAGGCACGCGAGCAAAGGGGGAGTGCCTTGCCCAGGGTCCCACGGCTGCCAAGGGCCTGAGGCCTGCCTATAGAGACTCCACTAACAACAGGAGCAGTGCCCGACGAGCACTTGGCCCTTCTCAGACCCTTCTTTAGCCCCCTACAAAAGGCAGATCTGTACCTCAACCCCAGGCTTCCCTGCCCCAGCCCGGCCTCTCAGACACAGCACTGGCTCAGGGGAGGGGGGTCAGAGGAAGGCAGCCGGTGGGCAGAAGGGGCTGCCAGCTGCCAGACAGGACAGGGCCCAAGTCAGAGAATGGCAGACTTTGGCTTGACCCAAGGAACCATCAGGGAGGGTGCGGCAGTCTTCAGGCTGAGGCTCATTCTTGCCTCAGAGATGCCACTGAGTTCATTCCTGCTCAGCCCAGAGATGGCCTCTGAAGGGCCTTGCCATCCTGAGATTCAACAATTTTTAAGGCTGACAAGGGACAGGAAGAGAAGCCTGAAGAACTGCGTGGGATCATGGAGATGAGGGAGTAGAGGTTTTCCAGGAGATGGTAGTCAGATGCCACCAAAAATACAAGGAGGCCTAAAGCAACAGATTAGACCACTGGGGAATCTTCAGCCAGGGGTCAAAATGTTAACCCATAAGGTGAGAGCCCGCTCTCTGCCAAGCTGTGCGTCTGTTAGTACACTACTGTGGGAAACAGAGACAAGTAGGGGAGTGGGTCTTCCTGCCCTCCAGGAGGGACAGTGTGCATGTGCCCGTCACTGTCCCAAGGCACCAGACACACACTGAGACAGCAAGGACACCAACATGAACACATCCAACCACACCATGGACCCCAGGGAGGGCTTGTGTGCGCTCCTACTAAGCACCTCGCAGCAGCAGGTCCGCTCCCTGGGCACCTGACTCCACAAGGAGGTTAGGTCAGGAACACAAACACCAACTTTGTCACTCACCTCTTCCTTCTCTAATTTCGCATGTTTGCGTTCCGCAGCCACATTTTTTTTTTTATTAAAATTAAACTGGGCATCCTCTTCAGCTTTCTGTACCCTTTTCTTCTTTTTCTCATATTCCTCGACAAGCTCCTTTGAACTGCTAATTTCTTCAAAAAACTGAGTTCTCTCTTTGGGTTTTTTCATTGAAATGGATTCTACAGTGCCCTGAAACAGAATGAGACATATCAGAGAGTTGGTCCACAGTATTTAATTAAGCACCTACTATGTGCCAGGCCCAGTGCTCAAAACTAGGGATACAAAGAAAGACAAACACACAGGGTCCTCGCCCTCAAGGGGCTCAGTCTAACAAAGGGGAGGTGACCCAAAAACTGCTGTACGTACAAGTTACAGGGCAGAGGGGAAGCTGTGGCTGAAGGAGGTGGAGAGAAGGCTGGGAAAAGCCTCCCTCAGGAGCGGGATATGAGCTAAGAAGTGGAGAGGAGACCACTCTGGGCAGGGGAGACAGCCAGTTTAAAGAAGGCAGGGTGTCCTCTGAGAGGATCCCCAAGGAGGCTGGCCTGTTGCTACCCCCTGATGAAGTACTCACTTTGGTTTGGGCATCAGTCATGTCTAAACATTTAATCCACTCACCCGCCCCAGGAGCCTTCACTTCACCAAGCACTAGCCTCTAGTCAGTCTGGTGCTTTGCACCCAGGGCAAGGAGGGGCCCAGCCTCATCCCCAATTTGGGGCTGAGCCTGGTAATCACAGATACAACATTCCACTTCATTTTAGCCTGCTTTTTAATTATATCCCTGTAGTCACTCCACAGGCTGTTTTCCTGACTAAGTTCATTCTTCCAAAACTGAGTATCAACAGCCCCTTAGCTACTTACCTGAAAAACCAGGCAGTTCCTGGCTTTGACAATTATGCCAATTTTTTCCAACTCTGCTATGTAGACTGAACGACTGACAGGATTGTCATTAAAATGAAATTCTGATGACCCTCCTGGAAGAAATAAAGTTAGAAGCAACTCAAACTAAATAGTGGATAATGTTGGTTCGATGAGTATTAAAAGTTTCTATAACATCATTCCTATTTACGCACATTAAGATGGCCTGATCAACCGGTCAGAGACTTGACCCATTAATATGGGCAGACCATCACACCCAAAGTTTTCTCTGACTGACTAAATGTCTCATTACATTCACTACTCAGACCAGGTTGAAAAATGAGGACAAGGCAACACAACCATCGGCCTCAACACAAAGAAAACGATACCCAAATCCCAGTGACATGAGGCAGCAGAAGGCAGGGATGCTTGGATTCAAGCATCTTCCTCCTTGGAAAGGTCATAAGGTTTGCTTTGGGGTGCCCCAGCAATGAGGGAAGCCAAATGACAGGAGGGGGAGGGATTCCAGCAAAGCAAAGCCAAATCCTTCCTGCGTTAACTCAGTTCATGCCTTTGGGGGGATGAAGAAGCTGGATCTAGAACCCCCAGTACCCTGAGCTGTCCTCTGGAATGAGGAGATTGGTTCTTGAGTCCTGGTGGCTGCCTGGCCATGTTTAAGCCCTTGCAGCTGAGCCATGCTGTCAGGCATAAGCCCATTTTAAAACACTCACAAGAGGACTGGTCAGTAAGGATGCTTGGGCAGCAAGGACACAGAGATCAGCCTGCTGCATGCAACCAGTAGATGAGAAGCCAGACAGACTGAGAGCCGCCCCGTGCAGGTGGAAGAAGAGAGTCAACCCAGCGGTCAGACATCCCTATCTAATCAGAAGGGATTGTATTCTTAGGGGCAAAAAGGAGGTGCCAAACCCCCCTGGTGACTCCTCCCCGTCCTCAGCAGGAGGCAGGGAACATGTGCAAGAGGTGGAATGTGGCACCACTGTCTCTGGACATCAAGCTGCTCGATCAATGAACTGACATGAAGTGCCCACTATAAGCCAGACACTGTGCCAACAACAGGTAGCACCGCATCTGTGAAACAAGCACCCACTGGACACACAGGGGCCAAGACTCATCTTTGCCCATCCTCTGGCTGCACCAGCCGGATGATAACAAATGACCTTCCTGGAGCATCTCCCCGAAGCTGACAAAGCCGTACACAGGCTGCCTCATTCCCGAATCCTAAGCGTGACACCACTCAGGAGTCTTCAGCCAATGGTCAAAATGTTAACCCGTAAGGCGAGAGCCTGCCCTCCGCCAAGCTGTGCGTCTGTCAGTAAACTACTGTGGGAGACAGAGACCAGTGGGGGAGAGGGTACTCCTGCCCTCCCGCAGGGACAGTGTGCATGTGCCCGTCACTGTCAGAGGCACCAGACACACACTGAGACGGCAACAAACCAGGTCCTGCCCTGGGACACCGACACAGTCACATCCAGCCACAGCGCGGACCCGGCTCAGGGAGTGCAAACTGAGGACAAAGGAGCACCTGGAGTGGGGGGGAGGAGGAGGATGGAGGAGGGGCAGGGAGGAGGAAGAGAGATGAAGACAGAGGGGGAAGGGGGAGGGGGAAGGAGGAGGAAGATGGAAAACGAGGCCCTCGAGGAAGGAAGGATGGTGGAGGAGAGAGAGGAAGAAGATGGAAAGCGAGGAGGGAGGGGGAGGGGAGGCCGCGGCGCCCACCCACCCCGGACGGTCCTGCGGAAGCGCTTCTCGGCGCCGCTCTCGTCCACGTACACGGCCTCCACGCTGGCGCTGGCCGCCGCCGGCCTGCCCACGTGCGCGCCGTGGATCAGCTCCTGCACGCTCTTGACGCGCAGCTGGCCCGGCCTCTCGCCCATCACGAAGCTCAGCGCGTCCATCACATTCGATTTGCCTGGGGGGGGTGTAACGTCACCAGGCGCTTTTTCCCCCCCTTTCCCTCCTCCTCACTCCCCCCCCACCGCCCCAATTCGGCCTCAGTTTCCCCACGTCGTTTCTCTCATCGGTGGTCCCCGCCCCGCCCCAGGCCCCGGCCTCGCCCCCTCATCCCCGGGCTCTCTTGAGCGGTCTCCCCGCCCGCACCGGAGCCGTTGGGGCCGACGATGCAGGTGAAGCCGCGGAATGGCCCGAGGACCTGGCGGCCGCGCCACGACTTGAAGTTCTCCACGAGCAGCCGGTCCAGGCGGCCCATGGCGGCGTCGAGAAGGGAGGCGGCCCCGGACGCGTCGAGTCCACAAGATGGCGGCGGAGACTAGCGCGGGAAGGCGGCAGCTACGACAGCGGAAGGGAGGGAGGCTGCGGGGGCTCTCGCGAGACAGCCGGGAGGACGTGTGCGCGTGCGCAGGGAGAAGCGAGGGCGGGGGGTGCCCTCGCAATGGCCCTGAGCGGCGTTGCCTAGGAACCGAGTGCGTGCAGGTGTTGCCAAGGGAACGCAGGCGCCTCCTTCTGCCTTTGGGCTCCGGCTGCCGCTGCCGCTCACTTGCACGCTTGCTCGTTGGTTTGCTCGTTTGCTCGGAGCCCCACCTCCCCCCCGCGTTGGCTTCCTGGCCTTCAGGCCGCACCCCCCCGCCCAAGATGCCCTTGAGGTCTAGCAATGTGGTGCAGCCCCAGGACTACAAAGAAGCGGCTTCCCTGGAAAAGAAGAGGCAGGCAGAGCTGCAGCTGCAGAGCCGCTGGTTCAACACCCGGGAGCTACTGATCGGGGTGAGCTCGCCTGGGCTGGGTCCAGGAGGAAACTGAGGTACGGGGGTGGAGACCTGGCCCTGCAGAGGGGGGAAACTGAGGCACAGGGGCAGAGACTCATTGAAGTAAAAGCCCTCCAGTCCAATACCCTCACTTTACAGAGGAGGAAACTGAGGCACTGGGCAAACAGGTGACTTACCCAAGGGCATAAATTCATAGACTTGGAGCTTCAAGGGACTTCAGAAGTCAGCCAGTCCAGCCATCCCCATCCCCATTTTACTGAGGAAAGGAGAGCGCCCTATGCCTAAGGGTATCAGCTGGGCAGCATGTGAAAGGGTAGAGGCCAGAATTGGGGCAAGTCGAAGGCTCTGGTGGAGTGGAGAACTGGGGATGAATGAGGCCGACATCCAAGCTGCAGGGGGCCCGCCCGGGAGATCAGGCTTACTAGAGCCAGGCCCTGGGCTCAGCCCTGGAGATAGATACAAAAAAAGCCAAAGGCTCCCCAGCAGGAGCGATTGTCCACATGTCACAAGAAGTGAAGTCGGGTGCGAGGGCCGTCTTGAAATCATACAACTTCCGTTAAGTTCACCATTAAGTATGCCAGCCCTGGGCTGGTAAGTGCAAGGCCAAGGCTCCTCCTGCCACTTCCCACCGCCCTCAGGACAGGACAGATTCACAGCTGGAGAGGCATCCAGGTGTTTCGAAGGGCTCTGGGAAGTCCCCACTGGGTTGGCACAGATGTCTCCTGTCTTTGCTCAGCTGCTGAATGTCAGGATTGAAGGAGCCTCGGGCCCCCCCGCCCCATGTCAGAGGGCCTCCTAACTCTGGGGGCCTCAGTTTTGTCATCCATAAAATGGGTATATAACCTCTTGAGTCCCTGCTGCACAGGAGAAAAAGTGCCTGAAAATGTGGGTTTGGGAGCAGCATTGAGATCCCAGAAAGAGCTGTGGTCTGTGAGCCAGAAGAAGCCTGGTTTGGAGGCAGGAGGCAGGCACTGCCCACCTGGGTGACCCCCAGACTTGGGTGTCGTAAGGCCGGCTTTGGGCTGGGCCCTCCCAGCACCGAGTCTGATGACCTGGGGAGGGCCGGAGGAGCAGGGAGGAGCCGAGGTGGGCGGCCCAGGAGGAAGCTGGGATCCTTTCTGATGGAGCCAGATGTCTTGTAGTTTTAAAATTACCTTCACACAGGGAGATCATAATGCCTGGGCTGCGCAGGTTCACGATCGGAAGATTCAAGAAGCCACCGAGAAAGGGAAGCACGAAATGATCGGTGAGTCGCTAGCCTGGGGCTGTTGAGGCAGCAGCGGCCTGTAGCCTTGAGGACCTTCTGCCTCCATCCTCCCTTTAAATGATCTCCTCTTAGTTTTGAGTCTGACACACCAGGCATTTCCAGCTGCCTGCCTTCCTCACGTGTGTGGGGCCCAGTCCAAGAAACGTATACACTACTCAGCACCCACAGCCACCCCCTTCTCCAAAGGATGCCCATGCACCAGCGTGACCTCAGTACCTGAGAGTCTTGGAAGCTGTCCTTTCATGGCAACCCTTGGTTAGCTCAGAACAAGCGCCCCCTGGTGGAGCAGAAGGGAGAAATCCGTCTGCAGAAACCTGCATTCTGGTCCGGCTCTGCCCGTCTGAGGATGCAGGGCACATCATTAGTGCGAGGCCATGTTCACTAAGAGCCACCTCCTCAGCCCGGCCCCATCGCATGGAAGAAGGTGGCATGTGGCTCAGAGGCAGCGCTCGCCCCTGTGTGTCACACTAAAGAGCCGAGGGCCCCTCACCCTGGTCATTTCACAGATGAGGAAACTGAGGCCGGAGAGGTTAAGGGGCTTTTCCCAGATGTGCCCAGCGTCACAACGCTTTCAACTGGACCTCATTCCCTTGAAGAATTCTCCCCCTCAGCAACGTGGTAAAGGTCTGAGAGATGCCAAAAGCCAGCTCAGTGAGAGCAGAGGGGTCCAGCCTTTCAGAACCAGCCAAGTGGCGAGCCTCTGGAGGTCACTGGGCAGAGCCTGTCAGGTGGCAGCCAATGACCTCCGAGGTCTTCCAGCCCGGAGTCCCTGTGATTGAGGGCTGTGGGGGTGTTTCTCCTCCCCGCCCCCACTGTTCTGTCCTTAGCCCTGTCCCTCCTCCCTCTTCTGTTCCGAGGCACCTCTCTGGCTCTGAGCTGGGGTCCTCCGCCTGCTGGACACCTCCCGGGGCCTGTCTTTAGCTTCTCCCACCGCTGTTGCCCTTGCCAGCCCTTCCCTCGGACACATCCCAGTTCTGAGCACCTGTGATGCCCTGTGCCCTGCCTAGGAGCGGAGATGAGAGAGAACGACCACATCGCCTGCGTCTTGGATCAGTGTCAGCAGAGGGACAGGCGCGAGCTCCAGAAAGCCATCAGCGAGTTCTGGCAGACCTTCCAGAAGCCCGAGAGTCGCCGGGAGTTTGACCTCTCTGACCCACTGGCCCTAAAGAAGGACGTTCCGGCCCACGTGTCTGACCAGGATACCTCGAACACCATCTCCGGGCTGCAGAAATTCATGGGGGAGGACCTGAACGCTAAGGAAAGGAAGAAGGCCCAGGAGGAGCAGAACCGGGAGTGGGCCCTAGAGCAGCAGAGAATGTGGAACAACGCGCTGGCTGACCACAGATTTGCAGGTAGGACTCTGCGCTGGCCCTGTGTTCTCTGGGCCTGGGTTCGAGTCCTGGCCAGACACTAGCTGGGTGACCCTGGGCCAGTCCCTCTCCATCTCAGAGCTTCGTTGTCTTGCTCTGTGAAGTGGGGGAGCCTGACCACATGACCTTAGCCTGGGCGATTCCAGAGAGCAGGGAGGGCTCATCACAGGGCCTGGCACACAGTAGGTACATAATGCATGCTCGTTATCTGACTTCTGGAGGACAAGCATGGTCGCACCTGTGTGCCCATAACAGGTGCTTAATCAGATGATCGGTCATTCATGGCGGGGACAGGCCTTGAGGAAGGGCCGGTGGTGGGGCCTGGGGGTCTCGGTTCTTCCACACGCTCAGATTTTCTGAGTCCTGGTCCAGCCTGGCTTGCTGTATGACCTTCCACCGTCAAGGCAGGACAGTGCTCAGGGGGCCTGAGTGTGAGTCCCGGCTAGGGGACCCTCTCTGGGTGTCACCCCCCCCTGCAAAGAGGGGGGCCATAATCCCTGCTCTCCTCCCCTCATAAAGCACTCCGAGTCACTCCACCATGGCTGTTTCTTTCCCCCAGAGGACATCTTCACCAAGACCAGGCTGGAATTTGACCAGACCGCCATGAACCTTCAGAAGTTGGAGCTGGCCACTAAACGTGTGGTGTGCGAGACTGTAAAGGATTTCAACAAAAGCCAGGTGAGGCAACCTCTGGGCTGGGGGAAGGGCCGGGGCGGCAGCCCCTTGAGGGGTCCAACAGGGTGGAACACTGGACAGCTTCCCCCTGCCTCTCAGCTTCTCATACCTCCCCATCCTAAGAGTTATGTGCTGGACGAGACCCCAAGGACCCCACCAGGGCGACAGCCAGATGGATGGGGGGCAGAGAAGGTGGAGGTCTCAGCTGGCATCTCTGCCAACCCCCCTCCCTAGTCTGCACCCTCACCCGCCATCAGGGACAAGCGGAAGGCCTTTTCTCTGCTTCTCCCCTCTGGAGGAGGGGAAGGGCATTAGGCTGCGATGGCCCCCAGCCAGGGAACTAAAGACCCAAGGAAACCGGCCTGAGGGAGAGAGGCCTGGCCTCCATCCAGGGCCAAGGAGAGCTTTGAGGCCCAGCCCTTGGGGAAGGAGCCAAAAAGTGAGCATTAGGGGATGACGAGGGAAAGAGACTGGAACGGCTGAAGCCATCTGAGGCAGAGCTGGGCCCTGGAACCCCGTCCCCTGCCACTGGCCGTCTGTGAGGCCGCCCCACTCTTGGCGTCTTTTAGATGCTGGAAGTCACAGAAAGGAAAAGGCGTGAGCACAGACAAGAGGAGGAAGACAACATGGCTGAGATCGCCAGCACCCTGCAGAGCGACTTCCTCTCTGAGAACCCGCAGCAGGCGGCCAGCTCCTTTGGGCCACACAGAGTGGTCACGGACAGATGGAAGGGCATGAGTAAGGAGCAGCTGGACAAGATCCAGCTGGTTCAGAAGCAGCAGATCCAGGAGAAGCAGGTGACATGCCTCCTCCACTTCCCCTCCTCTTCTCTCCTTTCCTCTGTTTTTCCTGACCCTAGGGAGTGGGGATGAGCCTCTGGGAAGTCCTCGCTCCTACTGGACTGAGTAGGAGACTCTGAGCCTCAGTTTCTCTACTTGCAAAGTGAGGCGACAGAGCCCCGGGGCATCTCTTCAGAGCCTCGTAGAGGGGCAGGGGTGCAGATCAGTAACACGGCACAAATTAAAGGGAGATGCACGGTGAGCACGATCAGAGATGTCAGATCAGAGATGGCCTCTGAGGTCGCCAGAAGCAGACCTCCTCCCTCTGTCCACCCTGCCTCCGACCCCTTCACCTCCCATGGCCTGGCCCCTGCTCTGCTTCTCCATCCTCCCTCATCCTGCCCCGCCTCAGCACAGACCTTCATCCCTCACCCCCGCTGCATCTAGACTGTCCTGGCCTCTCAGCAGTTTGCTGGGCCCTTGTCTGTTTTCTCCAGAATATCTATTTTTCCTTTGACAAAACCTGTTTAAATGAAGTGGGCATTTCTGTGTGCTCAGAAGAAACAAAGGAAGGCTGATTCTCTGGGAGGCCCCGCTGGCTTTTTAGCCTATAAATTCCATCAGTCCCATTTAGAGCTGACCTGCTGCTCACCTCTGCTTCCTTCTGGCCTTCCTGCCATCTCTGCCTTTCAAAGGGGCTGCTGGGACCCTCTTTCTTCCTCCTTGTCCAGCTCATCCTCTATCCCCCTGCTGAAGAAGGTTGTTGGGCCAGGAATCTGGCCGTGGCTCTGCTCTGCTCTGTTGCTTGCAAAGTCAAATTCAGACTCTTTTCCTTGACACGTGCATGACCCTCTGCGTCTCACCATGACCTTTCAGGCCTCATCCTTTCTTTGTGTCCACTTGCCCTCCACACCAGCCCAAGAGGTCCCTGACTTTCCCCCCCTTCCTTGTCCCTATGGTCCTTCAAGGTTAAGAACCTTTCAGAATGACAACCCAGCCTTTAGAATACAAGTCCAGTGGTCCCTGTTGGTGTCACCCTTACTGATCTACCCATCAGCCTTTCCTTCAAGAAAGAAGGGGTGGGAGAGAGGCAGGTAAAATGGAGAAGGGGAAAGCTAGGGGAGAAGAGCAGGCAGGGTAGCAGATGCAAACCACTGCCCTGGCCCTGGCCCTGCTCCCTTGGCCATCCCTCCTTTTCCTAAGGGTGCCAAATGTCTGGAATAAGGTGGCCCCAGCTCTCATATTTCCCTGCAGAGGCTGCAAGAGGAGGAGAGGCAACTGGACTTCGATTGGGACCGGCAGCAAATCCAGGCAGCCAGAGCCAATCTTCTATTTGAGAGGCAGCAACAGCGACTCAACCGGGAGCTCCGCCGGGCCATGGATAACAAGAACTTGAACTTGGCTCGAGAACATAAAGACATGTGAGTAGGCCAAAGGGAGGGGCTAGCATGTGGGGGGGGGGAGGAGATCATCCAGAGACACGTGAATCCATTCAGCCATCCCAGCCATCCATCGATCCGTCCCTCCATCTGTCCATCCATCTATCCATCCCATCCATCCATCCATCCATATATCCACCTATCTGTCCATCCATCCATCTGTACACCCATTCTATCCATCTATCCATTCCATCCATCCATCCATATATCCATCTACCTGTCCACCCATCTATCTGTCCATCCTATCCATCTGTCCATCCATCCATCTGTCCATCCATCCTATCCATCTGTTCACCCATCCATTTGTGCATCCTATCCATTTGTCCATCTGTCCATCTAGTCTATCCATCTGTCCATTCCATCCATCCATCCATCCATCCCATCTGTTAATCTATTCATTCCTCCATCTGATCTGATTACAATGGGATATTTCAAAATAAAAACCAAGCTTAGTGCCTCCAGGCCCCTGGATTAACTGATCTCCAGAACTTCTATGAGCTCTAATAGTCCTCTGTTCTAGGCTCCAAGGTCTCTCCCAGCTCTGTCATTCTCTGTTCTAGGTTCTAAGGTCTCTCCCGGTTCTGACATCCTCTGTTCTAGGATGCAAGGTCTCTCAGATACTCTCTGCTCTAGAACCTAAAGTCTTTCAGGGATTCTCTGTTCTAGGCTCCAAGGTCTCTCCCAGCTCTGACACTCAAATGTTCTGCAGTTTTTCAGCTCAGTGATAAGGTGGCCTCTATACACATGATGGGAATCTAAAAGAACAATTTAAAGATAAACTAAGAGGCGTCAGAGGGAATGGGTGCAGTCGTTCTAAATCCAGTGTTAATGCTTAGTTGCTCAGCATGCCAAGGCGGCAGTTTTGGAAGGCAGACCTACCCATTCTGCTGCAGGGAATCGGCCTGGGAGGAGGGTTGAGCCTCTTTAAGAGGTTGAAACACCAGTGTGCCCATGGGATGAGTGTCTGTGACGTGAGGATATTTCCGAGGAGGAAGGGGGTGGCAGCGCATCTGTTGGATTCCCCAATATCTGTCCGTGTGTCTGGTCTGTTTTGTTCCAGGCAAGATTATCTCAAGGAGCAAGTCTACCTTAGTTACCCGGCCGCACAATATTTCACACAATTTAATACAACCAGTAAATGAGGAAGAAGACGCAGCCACTGATTTTCTGGATGTCTCAAGAGAACTTGGTTTTGCATTGGAAAAAAATAAAAGCCGCAGAGGCTGTCAGGGACTGAGGCTGGAGTCGGGGGGTATCTGTCTCCCCAAACCTCAGTGCGGGGGCTCTGCAGAAGCCCACTCTCTTCAACAACAGAAAACTCCTGCTCACAGGATCTCTTAGCTAGCTCTTTAGCACTAGAGGGGGAATGGCAAATGTGGGTCAGATGAACAAATACAAAATGGAATTAATAGGGAAACGTGGGGTCCAGTACCCTAAAGTAGAAGGGAGACAAGCCGGGTGCTAGTCTCAGCTTTGCCACTAATTCACTCTGTGACCTGTCCTGAGGCGCCTCCCAGCCCCACATTCCCTGTGCTCAGGCCCCTCCCAGCCCTGACATCCCCTGTTCTCAGCCCCCTCCCAGCCCTGACATCCCCTGTGCTCAGGCCCCTCCCTGCCCGACATCCCCTGTGCTCAGGCCCTTCCCAGCCCTGACATACCGTGTTCTGATAGTTCCCCTCTCTGCCCCAGCTCCCTATCTCTTCTCCTTTTTGGAGTGCTCTTGGCAATTGCCTGAGACAGAGGTGGATGAGAAGACCACACACTTCTGTGAAATCTAGCGCTCGAAGGAATCTCAGAGGCCATCTCATCCCTCCCTGCATTTTGTCAGCCCAGGCTGGGCAGTGACAGAAAGAGGAAGTGGAGGCCAGGTTCAGTGCGGGTCACCCACGGCCAGCAGTGGGTGCCACCTGGTTAATTGGGAGCCCGCCTGTAGGCTGTGCTAAAGGGAAGTGTCCTCCTGTCTCATTAATGGCCCCAAGGCTCCCTCCAGCTCAGCGGCCTTGACGTGGGCGGAGCCGCTGACCGGTGCCTCGGCACTGGGAGCTGGACTGCTCTACTCTGGGGACTGGCACATGTCAGGGGTCCTGGGCCCCAGCATTATGGCAGAGCTCACAGTGTCTGGCACAGGGCCTGCAGCTCCTAAGGCTGAGGCTAAAGATTGTAAATTCTTAAGGCCTGAGGTCACCCGGGCCTCTGCCCAGTGCTGTGCTCACCCTTGGCGAAGCTGTCCAGACAGGGGCAGCCGTTCAGTCTGGGGAGGGCCTGCAGGGCTTTCCGGATCTCCTCCTTGGACCTCGTAGTATGGAGGGCTGGAAGGGACCTGAGGGGTCATCATCCAGCCCTGCTCAGCGTTCACGTGGGGAAACTGAGCACCACAGCGGCAAGTGACAGGGTCAGGGAGGTTGCATGAGAAGGAATTCGAACCCAGGCCCCAGGAGAGCCCAGGCCTCCTTCTGGGCACCACTTTGTCTCCATGTTTCAGAGCAGGGAATTAATTAGCAAGGCTCAGTGATCTGCCCAAGGTTCCATGGCTCAGCAGACATTTGGGGAGCTGGGGACAGACCCCAGCTCTCTTCTGAAAATGGGGGTGTTTCAGGGGCTCTGATATGGGGCCATGCCAAGGATGGGAAAAGCCTTCAGAATAATTACCGCTGTCCCAAGTGGGAGTGCCAGACGAAGCACCCCTCCTCCTCCTGGGAACTTTGCTCTGGGGTTTTGTTTGCATAGAGCACTGGAGGAGACCGCAGGGTCCAGCCCCTCTACCACACACCTCGTAAATGTTTGTCTGCTCTGCGCTTGAAGACCTCCAAGGATGGGGAGCTCACCACCTTCCAAGGCAACCCAGGCCACTCTAAGGCCTAACTGAGGGGGCCTCTCGGAGCTCCCCCCATTTCTTTCTGGGGCCAAACAGAGCCCTTCACAAAGACAGCCACCCTCCCTCGGGCTTCTTCTTGGGGCTAAACATTCTCCCTTCCACAAATTCCAGGCCACTGGTCATCTGGTAACACTCCCAGTGAGATCTGGCCCAGACAGTCAATCCATTTTATGGAGATCTGAGGGGGCAGAATGACTGCTCACAGCAAGTCAGCAATGAGGCTGGAATCTGAGTGTGAACCCGGCTCCCTGAACCAAATATTTGGCCATCAGTGTATGCACACACTGCCTTGGGTCATCCTCTGCCATGAGAATCAAATACTTGTGTCAGTCAGTGAGTACTTATTAAGCACCTACTATGTGCCTGTTTGCCTCAGTTTCCTCATCTGTCAAATGGCAAACACTCCATTATCTTTGCCAAGGAAACCCCAAAGGGGGTCACGAAGAGTCAGAGGTGGGTGATGAAACAGCTGTGTGCTGGTGCCATGCTAAGCACTGGCGTTACAAAAAGAAGCAAAGGATAGCCCCTGCCTTGTGTGTCTAATGACACACAAATGTGCAGGGTAAATAGGCAAGAGCCAACAGAGGGAAGGCCCTGCAATTAAGAGGGGGTGTGGAAGGCTTCCTGGAGGAGGGGGGATTTAGTTAGAGTTGAGAATTGTTAGCCTGGAGATGGTAATTAAATCCATGGGAGCTGACAAGATCACCAGTGATAGGTGACCAGGATAGGACACCATGCGGGCTGGGGGCGGGGGCTCTGCAGCATTCCACCAAGCATGAAGGAAGAGCAAGGCAACCCACCAGGGCATTTTGTCCCCGAGAAGTCAGTGGGGGCCAAGACCTCGGCTGGTGAACCATGATCTGCCCAGTGTGAGAGCAGCCCCCAAGGAAACCCCAACCAGAGGGGAAGGAGTCCGGAAGTGAGTGATAAGGAAAATGAGGGGTGGGAGTGGGGGACTGACAGTATCAGACTGTTCCAGGAGGAAAGCTGAAAGATGGAGCGTGAACAGTTACATCAGGAGGAAAAGCAGAGCCACAGAAGAGTCCCCTGGGCACGTGGCCCAGAGCTTAACAAGCCAGTGGAACCATGTTAGATCGGAGGACGACGACCCACGGCAACAGGATGTCATGTGATGGGGGTGGCGACACGTGGCCGGGCAGGCAGAAAACTGGCCTCGGAAATCTAATTGGCTGTGTGACCTTGAACCGTGGCTTCCAAGTAATTAATCTGAGGTGCCTACCTTGAGGGATTTTTGGGGGAGTGAAACCCCAGGTGCGAATTCTCTTCCCCTCTCACCCCATTGCTCTGTAGATACTTGAGAGATTTCGTGTCGACGGCCTGGGAGCATGTTGCTCTTCCCCATAGAATGTAAGCCCTTGGAGGGCAGGGCCTGTCCTCTGCTGTCTTTGTGGCCCCAGCCCTCAGTACGGTGCCTGGCTCTCAGGAGGTGCTTCATAAGGGTAATTAACAGACTGACCAAGCCAGCGTGTGCAGCAGAGGCCCAGGAGGCTTTGGCCCTGCATGGAGGCCAGAGTGTACAAGACAGATGGACTGGATCAATCCCACCGATGGGCAGCCCCACGGCCGATAATGACCCAAGGACCAGATGCTGGTCCACTTGCCCCCTCTGCTGGCAGATTGGGCCAATGACGGCCCTGCTCCGAGCAGGACCCGGCCAGCCCTGCCCATTCCCAAAGGACAAAGAGGGAGATGACAAACCACGGGAAGGGCTCGCCTCCATCTGGAAGCCCTGGGTTCAAATCCTGAGCCTCTCCTGGCTCGGCAGCGGTTCCCCAGACTGGACGTTATCAAAGTTCGCAGCTGGATTCAGTGTAGAGTTTCCAGATCCTTGTGCCCAATGAATTTATAAGCCTGAACCACCCACGTCATCCTCCCCCATCCCTGCCCCCCAAAGAGAAAAGCCGCCACTTTTTAACAGCAGCGAGCAGGCCAGGCTGTCCTTCCTCAGCCTGGGCTAGGAAGGTGCCAAGATTGGGATCTGCGCTGTCGTGGCTCCCTGTGTGCCCTGGACCTCGGATGGCCCCTTCCTGTCTCCTCTCTGGGCTCTGCCTCTAGGGGTCTGCCCAGGTGTCTGACAGCTCTGGAGAGTCTGATATCTGGAACTCCTCCATTCTGGCCCGTGAACGGGGGGTGAGGAGAGTGACAGGAAGCCCTGCCATCTTGGGTCTCACCTTTCTCCTGACCTCCCTCTTCTCTAGTCAAAGGCACAAAGGGGCCCAGGCTCCTTGGTGCTTAAGAGAGGTGGCAGAAGGCTGCTCCTGGCATCAGGAAGACCTGGGTTTGAATCTTGCCACGGATACTTAACTAGTTGTGTGACCCTGGGCAAGTCCCTTCAACACTCTCAGCCTCCATTTCCTCATCTGGGAAATGGGATAATAGCCCCTGCAATTCCATGCAGGGTTGTTGGGGGGCTCCAGTGATGCAATGGATGTCACGTCTCCTTTAAGTCACCCTCAGATTGGGCATAACTGGGACTGACCCCCCTTTTAGGTCAGGCGGCCTTGCGGCAGGGGAGCTCAGAAGAGCTCTTGGGGGAGAAATCTGATCCCCCCGGAGGCCTTTTCTTTACCCTCCCAGTCAATCAGCAAACTCGACTGAGCACCTGCCATGGATGTATGTGCACCAGCATCATATGAACCTTCAGACTTGCAAAGGGCTTTGCATAAGACTATGGATTTATAGCTGCTGAGGCACCATAGGGTCTAATCCCCTCATTTTACAGATGAGGAAACTGAGGCACAAAGGTGCGTGACTTGCCCAGGGTCACACACATATTATCTCATGACCATATGAGATAGATATTACAGGTACTACTTGCTATTCCCACTTTACAGCCAGGGAAACTGAGCCTCAGTGAGTTTTTTCCACCTCCTTGATTCCAGAGTGCAGAATGAACAATAAGGGGTGGGGGGCTATTCTTGGCTCGATGTAAGGAAAGACTTCTAGCAATCAGGACTGTCCGATTGAAACCCTTGGCTGGAGAGATGGTGAACTCCCTGCCAGCTGAGTTCTTTCAACAGGGCCGGGGCGGAGAATGCTGTCGAGGGACCTCCTTGGCCAGAGCTGGACTGGACAACCTCCTGGGTTCCCTTCCAGGCCTCTGGTGCCATACTTCCCTGGCTGGTACCGTCCTGACATGCACAGACCACAGATGGAAGGAACCGAGGTCACCTGCTCCAGCCCCCTTCCTGAGGCCCAGGAGAGGAGGTGATCCACCCAAGCTCAGTCAGCACATAAAGAGGCAGGGTGGGTGTGAAAGCCTGGGGAGGTGTGGTCCGATGGCAAGGGAGGGGCTTTGTGGAGGACAGGAGCTGGGGGGGTCCTCAGCATTCTGGGAATGA